AGAAGAAAAAAAAACAGCATGTTCAATCAGTATTTTGGATTTTTTTTACAATTAAAATGATCTGTAAAGTCTATTCTTGTAGGTCTAGTTTTAGTTTTAGTCTTTTACAGCTGTTTTTTCCCTTTCAGGCAAAAACCAAACGTGGCATTTTCACACTTTTGAGCTGAAATTTTTCAAAGGCTACATAAACTATAGAAACAAGTTCTCTGGAAAGCTTTATCACACTTCACTATCTGGATAAATCTGGGTTTGGCAGATGCCAATGGTACACACAGTGCCAGCAGTAAAGTTTGGTAGAGGAGGGATAATGGGTCTACGGCTGTTTTTCAGGGTTCAGTTCCAGCGAAAGGTAATGTTCAGGCTACAGCCTACAAAGACATTTCAGACAATTACATGCTTGCAACTTTATGGCAACAGTGTGGGGAAGGGCCTTTTCCTGTTCCAGAGGCCCAAACAGGAATCTGAATGTAAGTGCTACATCATTTAAGGTGGAGCGGGAAATAAGAATTAGAAGCTTCATGTTCATCTAATCTCTATACACTGTACAAGTTACAATCAGCAAACCAGGGCTGAACCACTTGAGGTGAGGGCCGCTGGTTTAACCCTTAAATTTGTACATGTACACACTTCGTTGTAACATTTATAGTTTGAGCGCTCTTTTGCTTTTATGCAAGAGTTTATACATTAGCTCACAGTAAGCAGCCCAAAAGGCTTGCGGACCACTGGAAATTCTACCGACTCTCCCGATTACCTGCTCTGACACAGAGCATGACTAAGAGCCTGGGCATAAAGTCCATAAAGACATGATTTGATGAGTTTGGGGCAGAAGAACCCCAGTGGCCCAACCCCATGTCGATCATGAGCCAGAACTTCTCGTCCAACGCCAATGCCTGACCTCACAAACGCTCTTTTGACTGAATGGGCACAGATTCCCCCCGTCAACTCGGAGGTTATTATAGCTGAAGGGATTCCAATTCCATATTAATGCCCATGGTTTTGGAATGGGATTTCCAACAAGTTAATGTAGGTGTGACAGTCAGTTGTCCACATACTAAGTAAAATGGGAAAAATTTTGGTCTCTTTCACAGATCTCCACATGACCTGAGTGACACGGTGCCGATTAACAGGTCAAAGCGTTGACACGGCAACGCGTCACAGAAGCAGTGTGGCTTCTAGAGAATAAGCGTTGAGCCGCGCTTCAAAATACATTAACATAAACTTTAAAACCAAAACTGAAAAAAACGCAATAAAAATCTTTTGAAATCCATAAAGCACGCTGTTTTGGGTTTTTTTTTTAGCGTGCACTAAAATTTCTAATTAGGTTGAATGGGATTGTAGCCAGTATTCTGTAAAACTTATCCAACCTAGCAACAACTGGAACTACAAAAGAACACCGGCCATGGAAAAGTGAATTGTTTACTGTATATATTAATAATATATGAAATGGTTTATTGAACACTGGAGTGTGTTATTGATTGATGAGCCTAACACCTCTAAACCTTAGCAAAACATCACTGTAATGCATAGCCTGTATTGCTGAACCTGCATCTAAGCTATGTCACTTTTACACCTAGGGAATACTGGGAGTACAGTGGACCGGTGTGTGTGTGTGTGTGTGTGTGTGTCTTCCTGGGCCAGTGCTGCTCTCTGAAGCCCCTCCTCTGCTCCTGGCATTTGTCAGTGAGTGAGTAAGTTCAGTGTGTGTGTGTAACTCTGGGCTTTGAGCCATGCTAAGAGCCTACACACATGTCCGCCACACACCCACCAGCAAAAGGAAATGAGAACCATTCCATCCTGCCACTGGACACACACACACACACACACACACACACACACACACACACAGAGCACAGTCATAACTTACAGAACACACAAAAGGCAACAAAGTCCACTTTTCTTTCTACAGTAGCAGATTTGCTCTGCTAATCTCACCTGCGGACACTGATAAATCTAATAATTGTGAAAGAAGGGGACTTTAACAGACTACTTTCAGAATTAATAATAAATATAGTTGTCTACATGACTTTAAGACAAGTTCCTATGTATACTTTCTGCCTCTCTTCAAGTCATACACACACACAAATATATATATATATATATATATAATATATATATATATATATATATATATATATATAATATATATACATATACATACACACACACACACACACATATATATATATACACACACACACACACACATATATATATATATACACACACACACACACACACACACACACACACACACACACACACACACACACATATATATACATATATATATATATATATATATATATATATATATATATATATATATACATAAATCATGTTTTGTTGATTTTCTAAGTCAATACGTTAACACTTCCTCTACAGTTGTTTTATTTTTTTCCCCTCAACACGACACAGAAACAGTACATTAAATATATGCTCAATAATATGTATTATATTGACACACCATATACCCATATATACACATACAACACTAACACACAAAAACACACACACACAAACACACACACACAGTATTGTGACACCTAAGCAAATTGTTTACAACCATTTCTCAGCAATAGGTTGTAAAAATAGGTCATCACAACAAATGCAAACAAACACAATTACAATAAGACATAAGAATTTCTTGTTTTCAAAAACGTAGTCGAGCTAGTGTGAGCTGGTTGGAACAACACAGGTTAGAGTCCAGAGTTCTCCTCAATGCCTCCAGCCTGTATGCACCTGTGTGTACATGTAAGTAATAACATGTCCTATATGTACTTTATTATATAAGTATCTATATGTAATAATGTAATGTCCAAGTCTGTAAATCTAAACTTAATTGGAACCTCAGTAACCAGAAAGAAAAAAAAAAAAAGAATGGAGCATTTTATTTGTCCTGATGATATAGGCTTTTTCTGGTTTCCAGGACACTTCTGTCCTGAAAATATACAAAAACAAACACACAAGGCAGAGCAGAGGCGTTTGTAAGGAGTGTCTATAATCCCACTTCTCTTCCTGCCCGCTCGTTTAAGGTCCGCTTCCTGTTCCGGCCCCTCCCACGGGGGGGGACAGAGAGATGGAATAGTGCTCACGGGGGCGAGAGAGGAGTGGAGGGGCGGACAGCCAAATAAACTTTCCTCCAGATCCTCTCTTTCATTCACTCACTCAGCCCATCATACACGGACGGCACAGACTCTCAGAGGCCTAACTTGCACACACCTGCACACACACACGAGCGTCACAGAAACTTCTGTCAAAATACAGATCGAACTGCATTTCTAATGAGATAATCAACTCCGAAACTTTCCTAGAAGTGGATTAAAAATGACATTGATGCAGGAAGAAAACAACCACTTAGGCAGATGAATTAAATGTTAGATACTTAGATGTATAGCTGACTGACATTTTGAACATCATATTAAAGTCAACATCTTTAGTTGTCTTCAGTTAACAAAATGCTCTATTTTATATTCAGTATTTCTCATTCTTAACAGATTGAAACAAATCTGTCGAAAGTACAGACACTACCTTTCAAAAGATAACTGACAGCTTTCAATCAATACCAATACTAAGCATTAAACCTAAGACTGCTGTGAGATGAGGTGAACCTTAAAGTCCAACTGAAATCAAAGCTGACCTTTTTTTCCTCTCGTTAGTTCATGGCCCTGGTCATATTAAACAACCCATAGCATATATATCATTTAAAAGCCTTTTTTTCCAATTGGAGTTTTGATTGTGTATCAGCGGAAAAAAATGGTAATTTTTACTTATATGATACACTAAGTCAGTTCCTTGAGGCGACCACTTACATCAGACATGCAACTCCAGAGCAGCGAAAATGGTGACAAGTTTAGAAACTGAAGCCATGCAAGGGGTCCGTAGGCATGCCCCCCCAAGAGAAATTTTACCATGAGAGTGAATCAGTCTGAGAGTAAAATACAGGGGAACAAGTAATTACACTACAACGACTGAGTTCACCGAGTTCAACAACTCCGCTCCGCTTTCCAGGGATTCTGACTTGTTAAAAATCAGCAGATCAATGATTCCATATAAAATTGGAAATTTCCTTTTGAGACTCCTCATCAAAACAACTCATTATAGAGTCATATGCAAAAATTTGAACACTTCTGGTCGAATTACATGTTTTGTTGATTTTTGTGTGTTAAAAAGTGACAATACAGGGAACAAACTTAAATATGCTAGTTTACTTTAATTTCCATTTGTTTGCAGACTTTAACATAAAAATAAAACAAGCATAAAATATACCAAAACTTTTGGGAACAATTTATGGTTTATTTTTTCCCAAAATTCTGCAAATAAACAGTAATTGTGCATTAAACATGCAGATGTGTGTACTCTGTAAAGGATGTGACTTATTTTCACCTAAAAAAAATCAACTAATTTTCAATAACCAGAGGTGCCAAAACTTTTGTATACGTTTGTAGATTTATTCTGTTTGCTCTTACTGGCTCATAAGGGTCCATTATGGCACTGTGAACCTTTCAGGGTCCACTATTTGAAATATGAATAAGCAAAAGAAAAAAAAACATATATAAAAACATATAAACTTTGGTGTCCTGTTCTAAAAAAGATGCCATTCCAGTATTGTTAGCTAAGTTAATGTCACCCAGCCCTATTAAACCTTTGCATGAACTGTTAACACTAATGTTGACTCACTTCACTGTTAAGGTGATTTTACCAGAGAATTTTCAGCAAATTTAAATAACTAGCTAAAACTTTAGACTTTCATATAGGATTAAGTGGGAAAAAAAGAAGTTTACTTAGCAATTAATTTGATGCTGTAGCATGTACCAACACGGAAAACCAGAGTAAATGAGTACCTGCATCATATTTGTTCAAGAGATGTTGCTGTTATCCCAGCTCTGACTGGCTTCTAGAAATAAATACTATATCTGTGAACTGGCTAAAATATACACAATTCACATGATCGGCTAATCAGCTTTCAAATGGCCAATTTCACAAAAAAAAAGGTCACTCACTTTTTCAGAGGATCAATCACAGTCTTCTGAATCTGACTGACCTAAGAGAAAAGAGAACAAACATCATTAAAAAAAAGAGAAGAAATAAATTAAGCATGGAAATAAGTTAAACCTAGCAGAAAAAAAAAGTGTGTAAATACTGACTGGCAACCTTCATAACAAATTACATTGATCATTAAGGAGAAGAAAAACAAGCATCACAACAAAACAAAACAAAAAAAAAACTATACACTTCAGTGAAGCTAATTGGTAGCAGGATACAACATAGACTCCACAATATCAACAATTGTCTTCCCTCCCCTGCCGGAGCAGCATCAAGATCAAGCTCCATCTCTTCCTCACAAAAAAAGGGATAAGAAAGGTGGGAGAGCAACTTTGGTGACGTCACCTCTTTATTGTGCTCGAGCCCCGAGGAGACCGACAAGGAACGTGAATATTCATCAAGTGCGGAATACAAAAGGACGGAACTGTCGGGGGACGAGACATGAAAGCGAAGCCCGGCTGGGTTTGCGAACGCAGGGAGAGGGTGGGACGCCCCTACAAGATGAAAGTTCTTTGCAAACAAACATTTTTAACAATAACAGTTTATATTCCCTCCGTTCTCCTGCGTCGTGCGCTACGGCTGAAGGGAGAGGACTGAGGGAAAGGAGGAGAGGAGGGGGAGGAGGAGAAGAGGAGGAGGGTGGTTTGCATTTAATGGGGGAAAGAAAAAAAAAACAAAAATTTTGGGCCTCAGGCCGTGACCCACCAAAGTCTCAAACTGAAGTTGGCTGACAATTAAAATCGTAACATTTTCAAGCGTGATTTACATTGCAGATTTGATATGTCAGGACGTGCTATAGGATGCGGATGGCTGACAGAACACTAACTCACCCTGGCAATATAACACGAGTAAAGAGCAAATGGAGAACTTTAAAAGCCACGGCTTGTGGAGAAAGCCAGACGCAGGCTGACAGGCCCCGTCAGAAGACTGTAAGCTCGAGAAGCTAATGAACAACTCACTCGCTATTGGGAGCGGAGTCAATCAGGGAACCCCAACAGAGTGCGACTTATAAAACATATGTTATCAGTGCTTATTACAAAGAAACCAAATACCTCCCTTTCTTTCATCATCATATGATCATGAGATGAGTGCTATAGCGCCCCATTATTAACAACAGCCGATACATCGATTAGTCGTTTAATCAAGATTCTATTTTTCATGATTTTGCATCGAGACTTTGACTATCTGTGCATTCATTAGAGTCAGAGTCATGCAAGTCCGAGTCTAGTCTCAAGTCTAAGATGCGAGTCCAAGATGAGGCTGGAGTATCTGAGGTGTGAGTCTTTAGGGATGCGTCAGTTAAGTCTAGAGTCTCTGAGGTGAGGGTCTCTGAGGTGTGAGTCAGAGTCAAGTTTAAAGTCTCTTTGAGGTGAGTCTACAGTCTCTGAGATGCTAGTCCGAGTTGAGTCAAGAGTCTCTGAGGTGCGAGTCCCAGTCAAGAGTCTCTGAGGTGCGAGTCAGAGTCGAGTCAAGAGTCTCTAAGGTGCGAGTCCGAGTCAAGTCAAGAGTCTCTGAGGTGCAAGTCCGAGTCAAGTCAGGAGTCTCTGAGGTGTAAGTCGGAGTTGAGTCAAAAGTCTCTAAGGTGCGTGTCTGAGTTGAGTCAAGAGTCTCTGAGGTGCAAGTCTGAGGTGAGTCAAGTCTCTAACGTGCGAGTCCGAGTTGAGTAAAGAGTCTCTACGGTGCGAGTCCGAGTTGAGTCAAGAGTCTCTGAGATGCGAGTCTGAGTTGAGTCAAGAGACATTGAGGTGCGAGTCCGAGTTAAAACTAGCGTCTCTAAAGTGCGAGTCCGAGTTGAGTCAAGAGTCGAGTCTCCAGTCTCTGGGTTGTGAGTCCGAGTCTGGTCTTACAGGTGCCGATACGCTGATTAATCGTTTATTAATTAATATCTCAAGTTGAAGACACGAGTCCAAGCTGAGGCTGGAGTATCTGAGGTGTGAGTCTTTTAGGTGTGTGTCGGTTAAGTCTAGAGTCTCTGAGGTGAGGGTAGAAAAATTATTCCAAAATATTCTGAGCAGTAACCATCAAGATCCAACTGCATAACTGTAATGCATCAATACGTACCGAATTGTGGCACGTGTAACGTGACAAATATCTGGAGCTAGTAAGAGCTATCAGGAGTTGGCAACACCCAGCCTTATTATTAACATATAGAAACTTTATAACGTGATAACTTTATCTGAGAGAGACAGATGGAACACAGGCAGCAGTACTGAAGGTGAGAAGACACCCAAACAATCCCCTTGTCTGATGCAGCAGACCGAGTCAGGTAGCTACTTTTGTGATACAAGAGGTCTAGTGTCCAAAAAACAGGCCATTCCTTATGTCTCCTTATGTCTGCTACCTTGAAAACTGGACTAGAAGAATCAGACTTGGTAACAGGGGTGACTCAGGGTCTTCATTTAATTTCACTTCACTTAAAAGGTGACAAACACCCCTAACTCAGACACTATGCTAAGCAGGTAACGCTATTGTATGTTGCATTATCTGTGCTCATTTGTGGCATACTGGTGTAATGGTTACGACAAAACTCATACCTTCAGACGAATTTCAACCGGTATACCGAAAGAACCGGTTCACCCCCCACTACCACTATGGAGGTACTCTGTTTAAAACACAGAGCAGGACAATGTAAAGCGTATAAGTGGGTACAGCAAGAACTGAGCGTTCAGCAGAGACAGAGAATTGATGGCGGAACAAGAGAGAGCTAAAGCAGTAGATGTAGAAAGCTGGTGGAGGGGTGTAGCGAGTATTCCATAAGGTAAGAGCAAAGCCTGAGGGCGTCGCTGAAGCACTAGCATCCGTGTGAATCAGAGGGCAGAGATCAGCCTGACTCTCTCTCTATCCCTCACACACACACACACACGCGCGCACACACACACACAGCCCAAAAAAACCCACAAACACACAAACCCTGAAAAATCGATACCCCCTCCCCGCCGTCATGGCCGCTAGTCGTTAACCGCTAACCGCTCGGCTTTGCGGCCCTTAAAGCCTTTTAAACACTGACTTTAAAATATACACAATGTAGGCCTGGGTTGAAGCTGCCTTCATTACCATAACACGTTTTCTTCTCTCTCACCCTCTTCTCTCTATTTTTCAATCTGCCCTTGAGCAATTCATATTTTCCAGAAACAGAAAACAGCAGAGGGAAGGGAGATTTCATTGTCTTTATTTAAGGCTAGCCTGATTTGGTTAGCCACCACGGCAGGACTGGATCGCGAAGAGAAAGGCAGGGGGTGGGGGGGGTTCGGTGCAGGTTTGGCGTCTGATTCATGGAAGTCTCATTAACCATTCAGGCATCCCGGGGTGGTATTTCACACAGGCACACTGAGGAACGCCGAGCCGGAAAAATCAGCTGTGCTAACATCTCTTCTCGCCCACGGCTAGCGCAGCGCTCGCCTGCCAAGTGCCCATATACCGGAATAGCAGGCCATAGAGCTCAGCTAGAGAGAGGAAAGCTGTAGAAAGTGTTTGCTTTAGTGAAACTGACAGAGGGGTCAGTGGAGAGAGAGCACATTTGCATCAAATCTGTTGTCTGAGAGATCTGCTATGCAGCAGCCCGCATTAAATCTAGCGGCACTTATGGAACGGTTCACGAAGGTTGGTGTATGTATGTATGCAGATATTTCCGATACAATTCATTCAGCCACAAAAATCAAGACTAGAACAAACAGGTGGCTGCGTTCTCCCTGGAAATGACGGGAATCCTTTGATGCACACAGTTAACGAATAGTTCTCTTCATATGTGGGCGTACATAGGAGGCTTTACATAGGAGCATCATTCGAAACTGAGATATCTGCGCAAGGGGACCAGTTACCAGCTCTTTTGGGTCATAAGGCATTTATATAGTTCTGATTTTACCAAGTTATAGAATATTTGACAAAAGTTGAGGTGTGAAAGTTTCCTCTATTAAAGCTTCTCTTCCAAAGGGATGACCCCACACTATCCTGATGATCAGACTGATTGACTCTGACTGGATGGCGAGACTCTCCCTGGCAGTAACGCCTCCAGACCGGTCCATGAGAAGGGCACGGGGTCCAAATACCGCTGCAGAAAGATACAAAAGAATCAGCTGCGGAATCGAAAACAACCTTTCACACCCACACATGGCTAAGTGAACACCTCACACCTTCAGTTGTTGACCATGAGAACGAGAAGTAAAACTACAATGGCCTTAACCAAGTGTCTGACCTTATGCTTGGGTTTTTAGTCATTAAAATTGACGCAAAACACAGTGAACAGTGTAACCTGCTTGGTAGTTTGGATAGAGCAACGCTAAGGGTCTCCGTACCACAGCGGGTGGCCTCTTACCCCTCTCTTTTTCTCTCCGAATGGGCAGCGTTGCCGGGGTGAAAGGGGTTATGAGGTTGTAGGCAACTGACAAGCGGAAAGAGCTATCACTCCACCGAGGCCTTGTCAGCGCTCTATGAATCGCTTCAGGGCTCTAACCAAGTTTACGACTCACAAACGAGCATTAAAAAATATAGTATCTGTTTTAATCAGTAGCGGTGGGGAACAGACAGAGGACAGAAACACTGAGGCTGGATTCTTCCGAAACCGAAGAGTGCGGATTTTTTCGGTTGAGACGCCTGAGGAGTGTTGCAGGGCGGGGAGGGGGGGGGGTCTGTTGTGAGAAAACCTTACTCATACCCAATCTGCTAGAGGGTAACGGAGTTTATTTCAGCCAAAGTGAGAAACAAAAATTCATATAAACTGTTTTTCTCTGCCAAAAAACGAAGCAAAGTAAACATGAGATAGAGGATGTTGTGAGGCAGAATAGCAGTTTGTCTTAAACATGTTTAAACAGCTGAAAAACCTGAGTATGAACAACAGACAATATTACTTCTCTGATTCAGCAACAGTTTGGGGGGAAATGATGCTTCAGCTAAATAAAAAGTACATAAAGGAAATTCAAAATCTGAACAAGATTTGCCATCTTTGATAATCATCTAACCGGCTAATAAGCAGAAGGCTGAGCTTTTATGATCACCATTTCCCATTTTGTCAGTGCATTCATGAACAAAATTTGGCAAGAGGCGTACCAGCGTGGGAGCCACAGTTGAAATAACAAAATGAGCAACAGTCATGAAAAGTCAAGTTCAGTCTTCTTGCATATTTGAGGCATATTTAGGTGGGAGCATTGGTACTAGCTGGTTAAAATTTCAGTAGCACAAATGAAAATTTAGCACAGTGATCAGTACTTTTGAAAAAGTGCTTTGTTATTCAAAATTAACCTGTATTGGTCATTAGAAAAGCTAAAAACCTCAAACTTATCAGTCATGTCCACCACATGGCACCACACTCATGTTAAACAGAGCAAAGCAAAATAATATACAGCAGGTCAAACACTACACTGCACTATATTACAAATTAGTAAAGCAAAGTTGTCTTGCTGCACACTGGTGGTCTGAGGTGGTATTTAAGTGACGTTCTTAACTGAAATGCTTTAAAAACACTTGTACAATATTCCATTGGCCCAACAAGAGTGCACCAAACCAGGGGTCCACCAATATGGGAATTCTGGGCTGATGCCAATATCCGATATTTTACATGCACATATCAGCCGATGCAACCGCTGATAATTTACCTGTATATATCTTTACATTTTGGCCATGCAAATTGCCTTCTGTAAAGGTCACTGAATGCTGGACACGCATTCAAAAATTCGAAACCATTGTTTTTAAATGGAGGTCCACACACCTGCGCCAGTGCTCCATCAAGCACTGTTCAACTCCTCAGCATCACAGCATGCCACTTAGCATTTTGCCATTACTACATTAACTTAGTCATATTGAGACCACACACAGTCACAGTAGATCACATGTGGCTTGAAATTTACACAAACACAGGAAGCCAGTCTTTTAGGTAAACCAACAATTCGAAAAGGTAAGTCACCTCAGTTAACGTCACTAGCCTGGCCTTTTTTGGCTCCCACCTTCCAGCTCAAAAACAGATAGTTTGAGAAGATGTAGTAAACTGGGGCCAAGCGAAAGTGATGCTGAATGCTTTTTTTCATTCAATTAATACAAGTAGAGTGAAAAAATGAAGTTGAACCGGCTCTCCCTGCTGAAGCCTCAGGCGCCAGAATGTAACTGCTGCACCATTTAAAGTAAAACACTGCCATTCGAACAAGAAGCTGGTGCGGAAGCCAACTTCAATCTCTTAGTTTTAATTTTAGTAGTGCTTTTTTAATAAGGAGATTTAAGCCATCATGCATCCCTACACCAGACTAAAACTCTAAGTGAAGCAACATAAGTGAAGACACTTCAGGAGCAGGTGAAAAATAGAAAATCCCAGAGCAGCAGCCATGTTCCAGAGAGTGAAACACAGTGCCCTGCAGATACTCTCAAAACTCAGCGCTAATACAGTGATTCCCACAGCAATTACCTTTAGTCATAATTTTAATCAAATACACAAAGTAAACACAGAAAACAATATCAAGCACAGTGAAAAGTAAAAAAGAAACAGAGAACTTTCTTTGAAATGATAGCACTCAGCAAATCAGGGAAACTGAATAACCTAAAGTCTGAGATCTGGAGTCTCATAAAATAATCATGTTTTAATGCATGTGTGTAATGTTTTCCTAGCGAATAAAGATGAATGACTGGAGCAAAACAAACAGAACTACACTGACAACCTATACAGCTCCCACCCCCCAAAAAACCTGCTGGTAAAGTAGGTAGCTTGAGCAACGTACACATGTGTTCTTGGGAAACTTCGCTAAAAGGATGTCGAAATGATATGAGGGAGTGTTTATGCATGTTAAACTGTCCTCACCTTCTCCTGGTTGAATGCATCCATTCTTTTCATGGCTGTATCCAGAGCCATCATGGACTCCAGGAAGGCTTGGTCCTGCTCACACAACGGGTTACTCAACAAGTCCCCAGAGATCTTTACTGCAGCTTTAGACATGGCTGCAACATTAAGATAAGCAGAAGAAGCATAAAAGTTAAAACAAACCAAAAAAAACAGAGACAGAAGAGAGAGGTGAACCAAATAAGGCCGTCACGATCAATTATAGTACTTAAGTAATTGTATTTAGATGACTGTTAGAGTATCAGGCCAAACAAAAAAAACGGTCTTAGATCAACAGCAAACCATGCAGAGCCTTCCAAAGATTACAAAGCATTCTTTTGGGAAGATAAACTAGAACCCCTTTAAAAACACATCTTTTCTAAAAAACAGTGTGGCAAAAGATAAGTTTGTTTGCTAAGACCGTGTGTGTACATCAGATTCTGTTTCTTGATGTACGACGCAAAAGTAAACTCTAAATATACCCACTATTAAAGCAGCACTATGTAGTATTTTTGTTAAAACTGAAAAAACTAGCATTACTAAGTATGGAGAAAAAAAAGAACACACCAAAATACGGTGGGCTGCTGTGGGTCACTCTGTAAAGCCTGAAATAATCATTTAAAAGTCAGAGGTGCCGGGACAGATATGGAGTTTTTCGGACTACACCACAAATCCTTACATATTAACATCATAGGCACAGGTTCAAACAAGAAGGTCCTACTTAATGTTTAGGTCTCAAATGCACAATCAACATCATACTGATGAAGATATGATGACGATAGTAGAACATTAACTCTCACCCTCGGAATAAACGTCCTTCAAGTTTTAACTGTTCTCTCTGAATACTCTTTCTACACACTCGCAAAAATCAGACTCGTCCGCTTGTGGGTGACCGACGTTACAAAACATTCTTCTGCACATTGTATGCAATTACATATTTCCATGAGAGGTCTCGAAATCCCCAAATCCTACATAGTGTTGCTTTAAGTGACTAAATAACAAACCGTCTCCTCGAACGTGGCGCCAAAAACTAGAAACTTTTCCATCTTTCCCAAGTCTGCCTCCATTAGCATAATAAAACAGCATAATAAACTAGGTCTTTACCCCGTTCGGGGAGGTGGGTGAGACTGGGCCTCTGATGAGGATGGATGTTTCATCTGGCTTCCTGCCTCCCCTGAATCTGATTTGGGTTGACGCTGACATTCGCATCTGATCAGCAGCCTGAGTTAAAACAGCCATGGCAGCGAAGTCCATGAACCATAATTGGCGCTGGCACTATAGAGGCATCGGCGGCGCAATCAGAGCACTTTAGTGAATATTCATCATCTCTATCAGCGCTCCTGCTCATGCCTTTCGACAGATGCGTCAACTTGTGGAGCTGCCTTATGGCAAATCCTTTTACATACAGTTTGCCAACTAGCTTTGATGCAATAGCATGTATCTCAACAGCCTTGCGTTCTCAAGACAATAGACACTTACAAGACTCGTCTGTCTGCTCTGCTGTTAAAGCGTCATAGTCTCATATTGGGGTTCCACAGTACTTTCAAGCTTCGAATTGTTCATTCAGCTCAGTATGAATACTAGCCACATTTCTTGGCTCTCATGTGTTTGAGTGCTGCGGAACACAAGGGCTCCCTGCTGTGAGCAATGTAACTGGTGTGGCTCCATTGAATGTGCACATAAACCCAAAGAGGAGGAAGGGGAAGAAGAACCTGTTCAGCAGATGGACCCTATTAATTATCAGGACACAAATGACAGCACTCTCTCTTTAATGGGCTTCCCTTTACTGCAGAGCATGAAGAGAGGAAAGAGAGTAACGTTGACCCTCACTCAACCTTTATGCTGTTCTGTCTTTATCGTTCTACCCTCCCATTCCTGCTTCCTTCATTCTTTTTTTCCCACCAAAAGAGTAATGCAGAAAGCAAGGTCATGACCCTGAGCAGACTCAACTGCTCCTATTCCATCTAACTGCGATTGAGAAGGTACAATTCTCATAATCCATGACATGTGGGTGGATATCTTGTGAAACCAGTAGTGACACAATGGTACCAGGCAGAGCAGTCAGGATTATTTGATTTTTAAAATGTATTTAAACTGATTTTGATGAAACCATCAATATTTATTAAACTATTTCCAAACCTCTCCTCATGCAGCCCAATACCTGGTTGATCTAATCAATACTTCATTCTGTTAAATAATGTGAGCTGGTTTAGGAATTTAACAAATTCATATGATGGCTGGGAGCGTCCTGGAGACATCTGGAACCAATTTTGGCCAGTCTAGCTCACACAACATCAACTACTTTTTTGAAAATAAGAAATTCTTGTTACTTTTCCTTTATTTGTTTATTTGCACTTATTCTATCCAACATGGTGTTTTTTTAAGCAAAAATGCACTTATTTCCAAGATTAATGGTGTAAATAACGTGCTTTTCCCAACAAAATACTTGTATTTAGAATGTGTGAAAGGCTGTATGGTTTCATATTGTTCAAGTTCACTTTTATTTGGGCCTTTTTAAAAATGATTACCGGTCAAAAAAAGGTAGATTTCTCAGATCAATAGATCGTTCAGTCATATCAGTAACTATCTACCTATCTATGTACACTCTCAGATAAAAAGCACTAAGCTGTCACTGTGGCAGTACCCCTCTTGTCACTAAGGTTTTACCCTCAAGGGCACACCTCAGTACCTTTAGTCAGGACATTGTACTATAATCAATTGAAATGATATTTTCTAAGCTGTATTGACTCCACACACCCCGTCTCGTCTGCAGGGTTTTATTTTATTGTTCAGTTTTAAAACATTTGGTTATGAAAAGGTACAAATATGTACTTTTAACCTGGAAAAACTTATTTAAGGTACACAACTGGACCTTGACACCACTGTTGTACCATTGAAGGGGAACATTTACATTGCTTGTACCTTGATGAATAAAAAACATACTTGCACAGAACCTTTCTGTCTGTCTGTCTGTCTGTCTTTTTCCTGTAAAATCAGCCCTTGGCATATCTGACAATTTTTTTTTTTACAGTTTTAAATTTCACTAGTCAGATTAAAATTTCACAATGCTGTTTTTCCTTTGAAAGATCAGCTATAAAAAAAAAACCCACTTCTGTAGTAAAAGGAAAACTGGAAATCAGGTGTCAGTTAATTGTGGGACAGCGGAGAAAAGAAATCCTCCACATTCACTTTACATACCTATGTCAGCCTCTGTGCTCTTCTTCATGTCTTTATGCAGCTTCTTTGTTTGGTCTTCCAATCTGACAAATGAAAAGAACAAAAAAATGAATTGACAGTGCAGGGGTGGAAAAACAACAACAGGCTTCATTTGCAAAGTGTACAGGTACAGTTTAACCCTACAAATGTCTGTAGACTTTGAGCAAGCAAAGACTGGTTATGTTTTTAAACTGACATTGTACACATTACAGGTACCAAGAGCAGCTGATACAATTGTACTCATTTTACATAGTGAATAACTGAGCAATGACTCATAGTAACGTAACAGGGTTGAAGATCAGCAGTAAAACAGTGAAAGCATCACCGAAAGCAGTAAACATGTTAGATGGTCCTAAATGTTAGTCCTAAAATGCATTAGGAGCTGCAAAACATATTTAATGCTGTTTTTTTCAGTGGAACTCCCTCTAGAGTTCAGTGGTTTTCATTCAAGGTTCTGCATGACAGTAACAATATTCTCACGTAGAGAAAGGCAGAGGGGGGCATTTCACAGGGTTGTTCACTACAGTGACCCATTCACACGCATGTAGGGTGCTAACATCTGCAATTATGACACTATCACGTCTGCCTGGTGTGTGTGAGCATGTGTGTATGAGCATGTGTGTGTGTGTGAGTGGGAGTGTGTGTGTGATGGGGGAGCTGTTCATTATATCAATTAGGAGGGAAATGACACAGGTTGGGAAACTCCCATGAGGCACCAATCACTGCAAGTGTGAGAGCTCTGATTAGGCAGAGTGCAGAAAGGAGGGGGATCTACTGTTTTGTTATGTGCATGATAGAAAGAATCAATGAGGTAAACCAAGGAAGAGGGAAAGAGCCTACGCTGACTGACTTGGACGACGTGGATTTTTTTAAAATCTTTACAAATTTAGAGCTACTGTTTTCACTACACTATTAAAATGTACTAGCAGTGTCAATAACGCATTAACAATATGTCTACTTACTAACGCCACTAATTTTTTAAAAAACACTGTTAATGCATTTATCTAGTTTAACCTTTTGAACTGTCCGTAGTTCCAGCCTGAAGCTGCGATGCTCGTACACTGTTGTTATGAATTCACTACCGTAGGCCTCTCGGTGAAATACGGCGAGTTCCACTGTTTCCAGCTACTGTAATGTTGTGAATTAGTTTATCACCGAAGTACACTGAATCAGAAGTACATAAAACAGCGCTGATGTGGCAAAACCAGTAATATCAGTAATGTTAGCACTGGAGGACGTCTTCAGCAGACTACGCTGAACAGTGTTCGCGGAAGAACTTTACATAAATCTGACTGTATATGATATATACACTTTAACATGCAGACACTGTTGCTCTCACTGGATGTCGTTCCCAATGGAAACAGTTCACGTTCAGGTTGATGCAAACTCTGTGTTCACACAATGAAAATGTCAATAAATTACTAAACGTAATAAATACATTCTGATAGATTTTGTTCGATGTTATGACTATAATAAACTTCATTACATAGTGACAGAGTGAATTAATGTACATTTCTCTTTTTCTGTTTGTTTCAACTGTCAAAAAACAACAAAAATCTAAAGGATAGATTTTCTTTCAGCCAAACAATACTGTGCGCACAACAGCAACTTTTCATCGAATACAAATCATTATAAAATATCTCCACTTCCACTTATGAATGTGGTTCCCATTAAAAGTTTAAACACGAACTAAGTGTAACCGCTAAGGGTTGAAGATAAAAAGCAGCGGAAAGTGATAAGGCCAAGGCAAAGACACACAAAAACTAAGTGGATACAGAACTGGAGGGAGAAAATGGTAAAAATTGTAACTGACGTGTAATGTGGAGACAGAGAGCCAGATGAGAAAGAAGGCCCCTCAGACTAGGTGCTAATCGAGCCCCAATGTGCCAGCTGCTCCATTCTGTGCACTAGCATGCCAACAGCAGGCCTTATTCCAACATGTGAATGGCATGTAGTGTTACCACAGGTCACAGACTAACATATTAGCTTTAGATACTCATATTCTGGGCTTGGAGTGATGCTGTGAGTGGAACACTATCTTGTGATGGCTTGCATTACTTGTGAGGCCAGTGTACCAGACATGCATTACACAGATCCTTAAAACCTCCAACAGGATTACCTGAAAAAGTCCCACAGGTTTCTGTTTACTAATTAAACATACATACTGTACATTTTAGACAGGGTGTTATTAGAAAGTCTTGTTGTTGTTGGGGTCTGACCAATATGAAAATTCTGTCAGGGGTCAGGTTTGCAGAGATATCATGATTGTCGGTTAACTGTGAATTGTCAAATATGATGGCAGTTCTCATTTGTCAACTTTATTAAACAACAGATATTCACCAAGGCTTAAATAATATAAATACAGTAGTGCTATCTTTGGTTTCTTTGTTTTTCTGGGCTAAGTTTTCTCTTATTTTTCATCACTTCTCTTCACATCTATTTATCTTTGTGTTTTATCATGTTTTCTTCTTGCTATGTGGGGTGTAGATGCATTTTCATCATCCATTAGTTATTTTAACCACAACAGTCAACAGTCAACAGTCAATAAGTATATCATGGTATAAATCAAGCAACTTCAGGATTATCCTCAATGTTGATTTATGTGCGGAACAGATACAGGCTTTCACTGATTCAGAGCATTTGGCAGTTTAGTCTAATAATTGCTCTGCAAAACTGAAACCGCAGTGTTTCTGAACAAATGCTTTTGTTTTCATGTATTAGCAAAAGCAGCACAATGAGACATAATTATGTCCTATCTCACATCTCTTTACATGCACAGCAAATGAAATATAAAAAATATAACTTTGGAACAAAGTAACAACAATTCAAAGCAAAATTAGTTTGGCAGACATCTAGTTTAGAATTTTAGTCTGAGAGTCAAACCTTCATTTTCTGGTGATCTTGCATAATGTAGCCCATGACATTCAGATAAGCATCAGACTCAGTGGTGGCAATTTCAGTCACTTCAGTTCAAGTTCTTACATGCCCACGCCCACTCCCTGCATGTCTGTGTGTGTGCAATCCCTCTCATAAGGGTTCCCCATGTATCTTACTCATCGCCCCATATCAGCTAGTTAACTCTCCTACGCGAAACGACCTGAAGCACTGAGGTGTGGTGATCTGATCTGACGAAAGACATGAGAGTTTCACAGGTTTGGTGGGTAATTACGGTAATGATAGAAATTGTATTTTCCACAGAAGGAGATCAATACATCTTATTTTTTAAATTCCAATGAATTTTCCCACCTGAAAATCTCATGAATTTCAAGAGAAAACAGCACTTTACAAATCTTTAACAGACACACACCTGCACTTCTTCTGCAGCAACGAAATATGCAACAAAAATAACTTTACAAAACAAAACAGTGACACTCTGCATACATTACCGCTCACTGTTCATATTAACATTTCACAGCCATGTTAACAGTTTTTGTTATTTTGCAATAATATGTGCAATAATAACTTTCAATATTTCAAAAATTCTGTGGGAAAGAATTCAATAAAATAAATATACTATAAGTATACTGACTTACTGAACAGTACATGCTAAACTAATTTTCATTTATTTTGATTTCAGGGATGTTTGATTTTAGTTCTGTAGAATTGTTACCTGCAGGTGTTATTTCCTTACAAATTTTCAATTTTTTAAAATTTTCTGATGGATGTTTTATTAAAGGTCCATTTCGAGACAAAATGGCAATGTAGCATATCATGTTATATTTGGCACCAATTTTTTTTTTTACTTTCTTTGCATGAATATGTCCCTATTATATAACATTCAAGAAATAAATAAAATAAATAAAATAATAAATAATAAAAAACAAATAAATAAATAAATAAATAAATAAATAATCTTATTACTTTTTTTGTTAAGTTATCTGCCTTTAGATTTGATCTCCACTTTTTATATGATGAATTTTGGATGTTTTATTATTATTTATTTTTAAATTATTTATTTTTTTATTAATTTATTCTTAATGTATTATTATTATTATTATTATTATTAAATGCTACATAAACAGCTTTCTCAGTTATTTTAGAATCATCTAGAGCTTATTTCATCAGTCTGGACACATTTAAAATTTCTTACTTTTTATTTACAGCTTCCTAGTGTCCTGTGAAGCTGCACAGGAGCAGAATAGTACAATAATTGTATAGATTAAACCAATTTTTTTTTAATATTGTTGAAAACATTGAGTTCAAACCTTTGAACAGTTAAGTATTATCCAACTACAACCTACTGGAAACTCAGTGAAATCTTAGAGGTGGACTGGTTTCTTTTGGTGGGTCAACAAATGTAAATAATTGTTTTTAAAAATATTTGAACGCATTCTGCTGTCTGCGTTAACTGTTCTTGACTCGGGTTTAAGGTTCATTCAACTTCTCAACCTTTTCCAAATGATTCACATGGCTGGAGCACTGGAACAAAGGTCTTAGAGTATTAAAAGGTTGAACTACTGCTGCAACCACCCTTCCGGCACAGACAAAGTTATAAAGGCAGCCGTAGTATAAAGATAATTTAGCATTAAATAATTCATTGATATCTAGCCCGATTAGAACTGTTTTCTGTAGAAACAGTACATTTTTGGAACAAGCAGCTGGACTAGCCATGCGTGGACAAACCCACTTTCCTGATATAAAACAGTTACTGTAATATCCAGGGTGACCAGGTTGCTGTTTTGGAGATTCAATTGCACAGGGTACCATATTTCATTGGTGGGAACACCCTTAGACTGTGGCTAGCGCAATCTTGTGAAGTCAATTAATGTGTTTCACCAGACTAGTTGCCAATACCAAAAACTATCCCTGTATTTTGACTCCCAGACACCAACTTTTTAGATGAAGATGGATCTCCGTATCATGGAGTAGAGCTAGTTTTTGGAACATGTACCCTAACACAGTGTGACTTTGATCAAATATAACAAGATTTGGGGTTGGATAAGAGGCCTATTTTGAAATGGCTGCCCTTCTATAGTTCTGCTTGTTCCTGACAAGACAAAAACAAGAACATGCAGCAGCGGGATATCTTTTCAAGTGAAATGTTCCAGTGCACGGCTTCAGGTGAGCTAATGATATACAAGCACAATAAATCTGAGGGGAACCAAAAAAAAAAATAAAAAAACAAATAGACTCAAAGCATGGCACTGAACCACATGTCAACTTACTTCTGGAGCTTCTCATATTCCCGCTCAAAGTCCCTTTCAACCTGCGGAGGAAAGAGAACAGACACATGGAGAGAGAGATAAGAGAATGGAGCAAGAGGAATGCAAGAAACAATCTGTTTAAAGAGTTGTGTGGGCAAACCGCTCTAGTTTTTCACACTGTATTTTAGGCCCATATTAAAAAGGAACAGGCTGTATAGGGCTGTGCTTCAACGGTAAAAGTTGCAGGGCTGTTTTCTGTCAAAAACAAAAGTCACGGAGGGCTTGCATCACGGCATTTGGGTTGACCTGAACATGAGGTGGAGGATAAGATCTGTCCAGAACCTCCTGGAGATGCACAAAAGATCCAAACAAACCAGAAGAACAATGACCACTCTTCCTTTGGAAATGAGCAGTCATTGAAATTTTAAGCGCTGTCCTGGCTCTGCTTGTTCGTGCCACCATGCCAGTGTGAGTGTGTTTGGACTGCCTGTGTGAAGTGGTGTTTTTGCTGGAACTGCAGCAGCAGGGGTTCCTGTCCTGTGGTTCTGTGGGCAAAGCCTGTAAGTAAACAGTTTTGGCGGACGGGACGGGCGACTGGTACCTTGTGGTAGCATGCAGACTGCAAGAGTTGCGTGCCCATCCTCTGAACTGCCCACTCAGGGGTATCCAGTGCGCTGGGATATAACAGGAAGGAGACCAAGGGAGGGAGCGAGGCGGACAGAGGAAGAGGGAGATGAGAGAGGGAAGTGGTTTTTCCCCCACGAACGGACGGAGAGAGGAAGGCACCCACTCATGGACGCGGATGGAGCTAAACTCGTGGCTTTGGCATCACCGGGGCAGCATGGCGGAGGTCACTGTTAGTTTAGCACAATCAAACAGTGACTCAGATTAATTCAGAGAGAAATTTTACCTGTAAATTCAGCCTGAATAAAAGGAGATGAGTGTTGTAGCTCCGGCTGTGCTTCCAAAGTAATATAAAACAAATGTTATGTAGGATCTCTATAGCCTTACTTTCTGTTTTCACATCACTTCTAGTTTTTGCTTATGATTTTTAAAAGACAAACTATGGCCAAAATGAAAAATTTAACCAAGGCTACAACTGTTGGATACATAGTGCTGCAATAGACTCTAAAGTGAGATTTCCTGGTTTAAAAGACTAGGAAACCCCCTGTTTTAGTGTGGATTCTTGGGTAAGCTTTTTGAATTTCTTTTGCTAGCTGGCATAATTATTCTCTTATATTCTCTTATTTCAACACAAACAAAACTGATTAAATTAGGAGCGCCAACCGAAACTCATTAAAGCAGAGTTTTGCTCCAACCCTAATCTTACACATCTGATCGAGGGAATAAAGGCCTTCAGGAGCATCTGAACATTAGAGCCAGGTGGGCTGGATCTGAACTCTACAGGGTGGTATATTTCCATGACCAGGATTGAATGAATACAACCTTTCGTTACCAACCTCATGTGTGTGACTTTGTGGATGACAGTAACTTAGTAAAACTAACACACAGTCAGTACTGAAATGTTGTTCTTGCATCAGATTCAGTCTGATGGACAGAACGAAGCGCTACATGCAGTAAAATATGGTGTGGAAAGTAAAGTGGTAAAACAGCTTGAAACAGCTGGCTAACATTGTTTGGGATAGCCAGTATTCTAGCTAGCATGATAGCTAATTTAGCGGAAGTTTTGGTAAATTGCAGATCACATTCCCTTAAAACTTTCTAAAACTTTACCTGGATTAGCTATTCCACTATCTAGCTATCACTGTTGCTATACAAACTAAAGACTAACTGTATCTGTTAGTTAAATTAGCTGTTGTGCTAGCTAGTACACTTGCTGTCCATGCTAAGCAACCCAGCCAAGTTGTTTTGCTTCTTTCCTTTACATATTTACTGTGTTCAGCGCTTTAGTTCTGTGATTCTGAACTAAAAAAAAATTCTCGTTATTTCAAGCCATGTCGAATCCGACAGGTTTTTAATGAGGTTTAAACTTTTGCCCAATGCACTGCCTGCAGCTAAAAACGAAATGAAACTGCAATTCTGTGCTGAAGACTTGAGACCCAACTCAGACCCAGACACCTGTGACCCAAGACTCGTCTCAGACTTTTTCAAAGCGACTCCGGAATATCTCTGGCTAGCAGGCAGGGCTTGTTCAGTGCAGCAAGGATTCCTTATAATTTTGTAATGTATTTGTGTAATTTGTGTTGTGGTGATGGAACACGGACAGATAAAAAAACAACACAAAATCGTAAATTCTGTCAAACTGATGAGGATGAGCGGTGCAGTGCTGCGCTAAAGAAAGCTCCAAACATTGCTGTAATGCCTCTTTAAGATTTGAGTAACACCCTGCTGTGACTTATTCATGCTCAATAAATAACCAGAAAATGGTATTTAATGTCGTAGGCCTTTGCCACCCATATCTTCAGTTTGCAGGTCATTTCTCATGCTTTGCTAACATTTAACCTCCTAAAAGCACCTTGCTAGGTCCCATCCATGCTGATGCAGTAATACACTGCTAATCATACTGAACAGAACTGTGTAATACCCAAGTGATCACACTGATGTTAATTAAAAGTGTGGTATATTATCAGTTCAGCATGCTGGATGCCATACTTGAACATTCTGACCTGTAAAAGGGTCAGTTGCTTATGGCGCTAGTTGCATAACAACGATGACTTTTCTTAAGATGGACATCTTTCCTAGCATTTCCCTTCTGGAACGACGGCAGGAATGTTCAGACAAACAGTAATTAGAGGCACTCCTCTTGGCAGACGTCTGTCAGGGTTTTTGAGCAGCCGATTTTGGAAAGGCCCAAGCGGTGAAGGCACTGGGAAACGTTCATGAGGCCATCTCCAAGGCCACACAGAGGTCCGCCTGTAGGTCCTGTCTAGCTCCAAAGAATGACTGTGGCAAAAATTTTAGTTATGGTTATTTTCAGGGCTGATGTGAAATTTTCTTCAGGTCCAATTAAGTGTGACTTACACGCACTCTCTCTCAAGAAACACTCAGCATTACCATTTCACAACACAGAGGAAAGCGTATCTGCACATATCTTCTGCTCCAGGGTCAGCTGTGGTGTTTTGGTGCACAATGTGGTGTTTGCAGGACTCTACACAGAGATGTCCAGATCCAATCTGAAAGACCGGTACTGGAGTTGACCAAGGCGTATTTTAGTGAATTCAGCGATTTCTCACATTGGGTTTGACTCAATGTCCCATTCATGTGTGGGGTGCATGTTGGCTTCAAACTTCACATTTGGCTGCTTCCCGACTTTTAACAGACTTTATCCTTTTATCTTTAGTTTTTGCCTTACTTACTTATCATTCTTCCCTTTCATACACTAATATATTTTTAATCTGATACACTGGAGTTACCAAGTGTTGTTGGCAGAATTTAGAGGCTTTATCTTATTTATATATGATCTAATAACAGATATTATTGTCGCTGTGCAGGACCTGAACCAGTGTTATTATGAGAACTATCAGGTTTTAATCAGTAATTTGGGTGATGGGTCAGTTTGGGTCAGTTTTAGACAGAATTTTGCTGGGTGCAGGTCAGTTTCAGGCTCAAAAATTGACACTGTTCACATTGGGTCAAGTTCAGACTCAAAATTTGATGTGGTTCAGGTTCAGGTCAAATTTGGATTCAAAACTTTGTGGTTCGGGTTAAATTTGGACACAAAACTTGACTAGGGCTCAGGCAAAGTTCCTGGACTGTATTCAGACTAGGACCAAATTTTCTGATCTGATTAAAGCTATTGTCACTTGCTATATTAAGCTTTATATACACTATTGCACATGATTTTCCACATAAAAGGCCATAAAAGTGACACAGACATTATGTACAACCAGCAGATACTCAGTTTTAATGGACTCGAGTCGAGGTCAGGAGCAAAAAACAAAGAACTGGACAAATAAATCCCTAGCTCTAACCACTTCTTCAGCTTCTTAAGGGACTGATAATTAACTAAATAGCTGATGTAGTGCATCACTCAAGTGCATCCTCTAGTAGTGTGAGTAGAGAAAACCCAGTTGAGAACCCAGAAGTAAGAAAAGTCAGTCCCCCCCCCCAAAATAGGCAGAGGTAAAGTAACCAGCTCTGGATATGGTCATTTTCCGGGCAGACCCAGCGCTGGGCCAATGCCACAGGGCTTACGTAGGAAAGGAAGTCGCTGCCAAGGTGCATTTCAAGCATGCGTTTATACTGACTGAAGTGGCCAGAGCTTGACTGCCTGCCACTGCAGAGTCTGATGAGTTGTAGCGTCTGGCTAGAAGTAACGTAAAAATACCAAGTCTGGGTTTCTGTGCTCTGGAATAGCAACTCGACGGGTGGCTGCGTCTCAGTGTGAACTGTGCAGACGGGCTGCCGTCCATTTTTGTCCTTCCAGAGATATACGAGGGATGCGTGGAGGGAAAACAAAGGCTTGTTCATGTAAATGCACAGTGAGCTGCTAACATGGTCTCAGGCCAAAACACAGTGTGGACTGGAAGTGCACTCACTGACCCCATAAGAGGTTTTACTTTCAGACTTTAAAACTGTGTCAGAGACTTAAAACCATAACTCATAACAGACACATCATAAAAAACCTCATCACAAAGTCTGCATCTGTAACATGATAAATTCAGGTGTTATCAATTCTAATTATGCCAAGAATTAGTGTGAACATTTGTTGAGGCGACATCCTTGAGACAGTCTTGATTTCAGTACATGCTGTAGTTTTTTCTACCATCACCAACAGGCTACCATAATTTGATAAAATCACGTCTGTGTTGCTAGACTAGTCAAATACCTTTTTCTAGCAATTGAGACAGCTTCTCATTTGCACCAAGACACTGTAAATCACTGCTGTCAGAACAAAACCTCGGTTTTCAGTTTTTTCAAAATGCCTGTTGCCCTTTACATTGTGTGTAAATTTCATGATGTATCGACCAAAAGAAACGGTCCAAAATTACTTGGGAAAAAAATTGACTCACATTAAAAGTAAACTAAGCTTTTTCCTTCTCCTGTAAAGTTACCATTTTGGAGATACAAGGTTTTATTCTGACAACAGCAAAATTATATTTGACTTTTCATACCAGGACACTTTATGAGCACCGACCCAAACTTTCGTTTTGTTTAACGCCCAAATTTGAATGACAAAGAAATAATAATAAAATAATATTAATAACACCAAGCACTAATGCTGAGCTTACCGTTTTTGAAACAATCTGTTTCTTCGGTTGTCCAATCTTGAATGGAATCCTAGGGAAGACAGAATAAACTGTTAGGCTACCATAGAGCAATGAAATTATGTCAAGATATAACAAGCCATAATACTAACATCGGAAAACCTACAAAAAGAAGGTCAATAAAACAAACGACTGCTCTGGAAATTTATCACGTAACTATTTTTAAGCACTCCATTTTTTCCTTCTTCTTACTGTTAACTTCTTGCCAGGTTTCTATCAATTTACTTAAGGCTAGGGCTGCACATCATTCAAACTATTTCAATATTGATACCTTGACTTTGACTCTGAACAAAATTCAAACAAATCTAATCAAATTTCTTTATGAATACAATACTATACAATTAAAAAAAAACATTTTAATTTGTTTTTATGTATTCAAAATTACTATTTTTCACATTTTTCGTCTGAAGTCAACATTTAGACCTCTCTTGTGAAATTCTGTTGACGCAACCCAAAATACAAAGCAAGTACGGTTTCCCTATATGTTTTCAACCCAGCCAATCATCAAAGAAGGATCAAGAGAACAAGCATGCTTACTGGCTCACTGACACTGAGAAGATGACTCAGGTATTGAAATCGAAAGACGGAACTTTTTCATTTGAGCACAGCACTATAAAATATCTGATTTTGATACCCAGCGCAAAGTGTAGCCTTTCTTCTCTTATGTTACGGCATCAATCTTGGAGATTCTAGCAAACATCTCCCTCTGCTTCTATGATAGATGCTCTGATTGACTGTTGCAATGCCTACTGGACAAAGCCCCCATCTTTCCCACAAACTCAGAGCGCTGCAAGTTTCCCTCTCTGAGACTTCTGGTTGCACAAACTCTGGGTACAGCGATGTGGCATGAGGGGAATGAGCCACTTGGGTGCTATCAGCTTCCAGTTTGTTTCACCCCAGTTTGTTTAAGGCTGCCTCATGCGTCAAATGACCTCAAATCCATGCTCCGCCCACAAACGCGTTCTGTTCATAGTTACTGTCCTAAGCTTTATAGAACGCTCACAACAATAAAGACCTACTCTAAATTTGGATACTTTAATCTAAAAAGTGAGTGCTACAGTTTCTCTTTGGTTGAACAAAATTTAACCTTAATGTTCAATGTAAGTTCAATGCTCAATGTTCTGGAGCACAGATACATCAATCAGGCCGATGCCTTGTGGCATAGGTTATTCAAAACTGATTCAGTAGGTACAGAAGTTCAAGAGGAGCTCAGAGGTTCACTAAATATCCAGTCACTGATATTGCTCTAACAGCATCCATATGGAGGCCATCAAAGGCGGACACTGAAAATTAAAAGCGACCGTCCCCACTGTCACATGAGCCTTCTGTGGTCTGTACAACAGGCAGACACATACACATGAGGCTCTCGTATACAAAAACCCTTCCTCTGGTCTGCTATTACAACAGGCACTCATAAGCACTCATGTTATGGCTTATGCATCCACACACATGTGCAATCAGCAGAAGTCACCCACATTACTGCATATGTGCAGTCCACAGCTGCAGATAACTGCTAGCCACAGGTCAACATGAAGAATGAACCTCAGTAATGAGTTCTTGGATCTCATCATCTTGCAACCAGCCCCAGCTCAACCCTTCCTTTCTTTATACTACACAAACTTCCGCAAAGTGCCACAGCTTCTATACCTGCTCTTACAAGCAGCGACAGACATTTTATTTTCTTTTATTTTACTTAGTCTTTCTCATCAATTTAATCATAGCCCGTTTCACCTGCTAGCTAGGTGTCCAATAACATGATGCTACCAAGCTGGAAGGCTGAAGGCTACTACGTGCTTCGTCCAAGACCAGTTAGACATCACTGAATCTTTCAAACTGCTGCTAAAATGTCACTGGGCAGCACAACGTCGTTGGAGGGGAACACTAACTGCTAATTCTGCAAATTAAAGACGCCCACATTGGATAGCATCGCGCTGGGTGACGGGGGCCGTCCTACCCATCCAGAGGGAAGCTAATTATGCTCTTTTGGCTCCTTTTCACAGATGGCTGTGGCATCGCCGGAGATCAAACCTGTGATCTGACGACAGAGCCAGTGCTTAGACAGCTGGGCTACTCAGGTCCCCCACCCTGAGAATTAAATTTTAATTTTAACCATTTTGAATTGAATATAATATTCAAACATTTCAATAAGAACATTTTTTATTTTTATAAGATTAAGAAAGAAAATGAATGATGGTTCGGTTGATTCAGTAATTTGTGATTTAACTAGCAGTTGACTAACTGGATGACCGCTAGCACGTTAGCCTGGACGTTCCACTCAACATGAAAGGCAAAGTGAGCTGCTTACATCCCAACGTTCTCTGTGAAATTTTTGTGTCACTATAATTGCAGATAACCGTGGAATTCTGCAGTATTATCACCAACTCTATTCTCATGCAGTTCTCTAATTCATGGAGTATCTTGCTTCAAAACACGGACTGTGTGCTACTACATAATAAACAAAAAAGTTATCATATAACAAAAAAAAGAGGATCTGTTTCTGTTGAACCAGCGCTGTCTGTTCACTGTTTAATCTTAGAGCCATTTTTGTGGCTGTACTGCACTCCAAAAAAAGGTACCGCAGAGGGATGCCACAGAAGACCCACTTTGGTTTCCTAAGGAAACAGAGATGTGTGAGTGTGAGAAACCTGTTAAAAGGTGTAAGGAACCTTCAAATATTATAAAAGGTTCTACACCAATTTAAAAAACTGTTCTGAACTTTTTTAAACTTAAAAAAGGTTCTTCAGAACGATTTAGTACCTCTGTTTTTAAGAGTGTATATGGTACTACATCATCAATAAGTCCATGGAAATTCACCAAAACATTTGTTTAGTTTAATTTTGTTGATGATGATGGAAAGTAAATGCAGTGATATCACTGATAGCTAGTCTGTTGGCTGTTTAATAGGATATTTGATATTTGATGACTATTTAATAGAATATTTTTTCTTCAATTGATTTGTGTGTCATATTTGTCTCAAAAGCTAATAATAAATATGATAAATAATAACTACGGTATAATCTCAACAATACATTGGAGGTTGTGTTATACTGTGAGACATTAGCACTGGTGTACTGCAGCTGTGGGCATGAGGACTCACTCATATATTATTGTGTTATTTTAATTTTTTCCTGTAACAACATTTTATTATCCTAATTTAATTTTTTATTTAAAGTTTATTTCTTTCTAATTATTATATATAACCAGGTTTTAAATTTATTTTCCTCTGTATCTTTTTAAACTTTAGTTTGAAATATCTTTGTATTTTCTTATTTGTAAAGCACTTTGAATGACCACTGTGCATGAAAGGTGCCATATAAACAAAGTTGTCTTGTCTAAATGATTTGCAGTCATGAAGTAAAAGTTACTTAATCTTAGCATCAGAAAAAAAGCAGAAAACTTCTAATTAACAGACAACAGTCAAGAAGCCTCAACAACTAGTTCAGCTCAGTCTTAGAAGTTGGTTGCATTTGCTGCTTCTCACAATCCCAAACACATTCAGTGATGCCGCAGTCTGGATTCTGGGGTGGTCAGTCTATTGCTGAGACCTCCGGCAGCTTCTCTGTTTGATCTTTTTAGACCATTTCCTTTTCTCAGTAATGGCTTCTTGGCAGCTACACATCCCCTCAGACCCACCCGTTTAGTCTTCTCACAGTGGAAGGATGGACATAAACACGTGTGGATTTTTTCAGATCTGAAGCAAAAGTGGAGCTTGAGACTCCGACGCTCCAGTATCGGTTTTTCACTTGACTCCCCCTTCATTATGCAAGTGGTTTATAGCTAATCTCCTCAAAAATATCTTCTGAAAAAAGAATAACTCGTACTTAACGGCCGTTTTGAGTAGAAATTGAATGCATAAATGTCTTCTGCGCAGTAATGTATAAAGTGTGGCATTTTTCAGTACATTCATAATTATAAATATTTCATTAAATAGCAGCAAACCCCCAGGCTCTAACATATCAGCCATTTTTTTCTCTAAAACAACTTTTTTTCAGCAAAAGGCAGCAATCAGGAATTATGGACCACCTTTACAGAATTCGTCCATGCCAATTCTCACGCCAAGTCGTTTCTTAATTATAGTTCAGGCAGACTAAGAGAGAAACCCTGTGAGGGGAAATACTTGTTTTTCCCTGCTGTTAGAGGCTATAGAGTCGACACACACACACACACACACACACACACACACACACACATATACATACATACATATACATATATATATATATATATATATATATACATATACATATATATATATATATATATATATATATATATATATATATGTATACACACACACACACACACGAACAGAGGCTGTTACTGATGTGACAGTAATAATGTCCCTGTAGAATGATGGACGGCTGGCGATGGCAGCCGCTCAGATCCGGCAGCTGCGTCAAAGCAAAGGTGTGTGAGCTAATGAGACGGAAAGAGAGGGGTGTGAGGAGGACGCGCAACTGCAAGGGTGTGTGTGGTCTACTGTGTGTGTGCGTACATGCCTTGTGTGACAGGTATGATGTGTAGCCATATAGCTGGGGGGAGTGTGTGTGCTTTATGTTGACGGCTTAATCAAAGACTTCAAAAATTCTTATTTAATGAGTTCAATTCTCGTTACGCTGTGTGCATGCATTTCTTAAACATGCATGTTTTTAAGTCCTCGTCTCTTTAGTACATGATTCTGTTCATCTTAATGAAAGACAGCATGGACAGGACAATAACTGCTCAGCAGACGTTAGAGCTGGGCGATACTGATAAAGATCAACATCACGATATTTTAGAAATATATGTACGGCTGGGACAACATTGATTTTTCGCAAATTATCTTTATTTTTTTTGCTTAACTTGTGTCCGCAAAACTCAGGTTTGTCGCCCCCTCTGGCGTAAATGGAAACTGTGCAAATTCACATATGTATGTGTAAAACACTCGTAGTATTAAATAATGAAAATATCAAGTTTTTCAAACCTATTGTAAATTTTGTCCCGATTTATCAATTTTTCAAATTTGCTTATCAT